ATCCACGATTCCCAGTTTGCGAGCCCCAGAAGCGGTGCTTACCCTCCCCAGGAAGGCTGCCAGCCTTCCAATGCCTCACTGCTCCCCCATGGGCTACCCCAGCCATCGGCCACCACTCGCCTCCCAAACTCTCCCCAACAGCTCCTGCCTTCCCAGAAAGTGCAAAATCCTCAGCACTGAGGGAAGAAACCAGGGACAGAGAGGAAGGGCTCCGTGTGATATCAATCACAGGGCCAACTGGAGTAAGTCAGCTACCATTTAATGCACTTCCCAACATTAATTAAGCAGGACCACCCCTAAGAATTTAATTTTATCATGCAGCCCTTTGCTCTGGTGTAACAGGGACAAGGTCAGAGAAGCCCGAAGTGGACTGTCTCTACATTAGCCTTTTTTTTACTATTCATCCTGGCCAAGCCCCCTCTTATGATGATGATATTCATCATTTAATTAACGAAGCATCTCTGTACCACACAGTCCCCATAGCACCAGGCAGCTGCTCAGGAGTAGCAGGCATTACTCCACAGCCCAGCAGGACACAGGTAGGGACATGTCGTGCCTTCCTCTCCCCAGCTGCTGGCTGCAAAACCCAGGGGTCAGCCCTGGATGGGGCAGGGGGACGCCCACACCCACAGCAGGGATGTATTTGGGGGACAGACCCTGGGGATTGCAGGCTGGCCACCGCGAAGAGACGGCTGCCTGCACCACGGGCACAGGGCCTGCACAGCTCAGTGGGCAGCAGAGCATGTTTGCCCCCGGCCCCTTCTTGCTGATGACAAGTTGTCCTGGTGTCTTTGCCCATTTGGGACCCTGACTTGCCTTCCCTGGCCTCTTACACCCCAGCACCACCCAGGCGAGGCTGCTGTGCGCAGAGAAGCCACCTTACAAGTCGTGAAGCTTTACCACAGCTTGGACCTTGCCATTTGGCTTTTGGCCATCTTCAGCACCCGGAGGTTTTACTATAATACTTTCCTCTTTTTCCTTTTTTTTGTTTTCTTTTTGTTGTTTTAATTCCTGGAACTGTTGTACACCTCTTACCCTGTGCAGAGGATGCCTAGAGCCGGAAGATGCCTCCTCCTCCCCTCTTCCACTAGCCCAGCTCTGCTGGAGCAACAGCCCAGCAAAAACTCCACGTTGAGACATAACCAATGGCAAATTCTTCGAGTGAAACGTAATGTGCTGGGAAGCGCTTCACCATTTCGCTTGGGAAAACGATCTGTTTGGCAGCAGAGAGGAGGAAAACATGCTTTGTTTTACAAATCCTCTCCCCAGCAGGAGAGACACTCCCAGAATTTAATATACCAACAGTGCTTGACTGCTTTAACCACTGAAACTCAAGAGCGTGTAAAAAAAATGTGATACACTATATATAACCTATCCTATTCGGCAACTGGTGGTATCAGGCTTCATCAGCACCAAGGAGCTGCAGTTTTCCCACCCGTGGCAGCCGGGCACAGGGTCTGGGAGCGAGGTCCCAGGTTTCTCCAAGTGCTGCGCAGCCTTAATTAATTCCATTTTCCCCCCTCTCGTAGGGTGAGGCCCTGCAGCAGCTCCTTGCAGGAGAACAGAGAAAATGCTGACAGGTAAATGCAGAAGTTGCTTTATAGCAGAGAAACAAAGTTTCTCTGTTCAAAGTTGTTTGGCGCCAAGAATTACTTCCACGAAAGGCAACCCGCTTCCTCCTGGTGACTACCAACCCCTAAATAAGACATTATTTCAGTGTATTTCCACTTACGCTCCAATGCTGTTAACTGCCAAAAGCATCCTACACACAGCATGGGTGAGGATGGCTTACAGGAAAACACATCTTATCCAAAGAGGGCAGCGGACGGCACCTTTTTGAGAGAGGGTTTTCATCTGCAGTCTGGGGTTTGGGCTCCAGGCAGCTGCCAGCATTACCAGGGCAGAAGGGAAGAGGAAGCACTATCTGCAACTAAGAAACTTGTCGTTAAACCAGGCTGGCTATGCCAAAGGAGCACATACTCCTCTAACAGCCACTGCCAGCTCTTGCACGCAGCAATAACATAAGTGTTATTTGAGGGCAGGCAGCGGGATCGGATTGCCTCTGCACCGGAGACCGCTTCCGACCTCTCTGAGGAGCAGTCTCAGTGCAAAGTCCATCTCCTGTCCATGCTTTTTATGTTTTTAAACAAAATGAAGTCCACTTCATACATTAGCTCTTGTATAGTTGGTTGCAACCTCTAAGCATTCTTGGAAACACTAATTAATCATTATGAGAGCCTGTAGAGAAAACAGCATTGCTCTCATTCCAGGGGACAGGAGCAGGATGGATGAATTTGAGGAAAGGCAAAAGGCCATGCGGGATATCAGTGCCAGCATGGGCCTGCCTGTGCTCCAGCACGACATTTAAAACAAGGTTTCCTCACCCTACCCCTTTGCTGACTATCAAACGCAGCTTTTTTGGAGGTGCTGACAGGGACAAGTCCCCAAACCTCCTCTTGCAGTGAGTGGGTCAGGCAGGATGTTATGTCAAGGAAAACCAAAAAGCTGGTGACCCTCAGGTCTGGTGACACACTTGTCCCACTCCACAAAAGGGATGGAGCAACTCCAAACCACAGGGATGCTGTCACCTACCCCCTCACTACCACACTGGGCTGGCTTCAGAGCTCAGTGAAGCCAATGGAAAGGCTCCCAGTGACCAAAAATGGTTGGGGTTTTCAAAAAAATAAAAAAGCTAAACAAAACTGAGAGCAGGGGGTCACCAGGTTTGCTCAAAGCCCCCAGTTTTGCAGCAGCACGATCACACATGATGTCAGCAATGACATGGACCAACCAACACCACAGCCCCTCTGCAACGGGTGCCACATAAACAGCTCATGAGCTGTCTGCCCCTCCTGGGCTCACCTGTCCATCCCTCTCTGCAGGGGGAAGCCCATCCTTCCTCCCAAATCCCCGTTTTCAGGCTGGGACACAGCAGGAGCTCAGCTCCCACCGCCTCGCAGCCTCAGCTCCTTGGGAGCCAACCGAGCATCCCTCGCAGCCACTGACGCACCCCCAAAAGCCAGCCTGTGGAAAACCACAGCGACTGGGATGTGTTCAGTGGGGCATCCCACGTTCACCACCCGAAGGCAAGGAATAATACTGCCTCATTAAAAATGTGCTCCCACTCTATTATAGTATCTAGGACAAAGTGTTCCCTATTTTGACACTCCAAGATCTATTTTATCAGAGCAACCTCTTCAGAAACACTCACTCACAAAGACTTATGGGGTTGTAACAGGTTTCTCGCTTCCACCCTCATTTTAAAATTAATTTCTAGCTTAATTTTCACCTTAGTTAGATGACAGGGATGCCCCCAGGGTCAGATCTGTCAGTGGGGCAGCCACTGTGACACGTCCCAGCTCCCTCACCCCCTGCACGGCCAACCCATGGGGAGGTAGAAGATGGTCCAGAGCATTGCTGAGAAAAACCAGTATCTGAAGCCAGAGCGAACTTGGGAGCAACTCACAGTACTTCACAGGCACCGAGAGGTTTTTTTGTGGGGGGAGTGAAGGGGGGTTTGATATAAACCCCTTCTAAAATTAGCAACCGCCTTTCGGCCAGCTCCAAGGGGCTGCTGGTGCAACGATAAAGCTTTGGCGTGGCTGAGTCAGGGTACTGCAGCCTAACTCACGTCCGCTCCTGCCCCACGAGGTTTCCCCGGCCACGTGCTTGACCCACGCAGCTGCACAGATCCCGCACGGAGAGGGCATTATCCCAAAGAGACATACCCCCACCTCCCAGAGAATGGGCATGTTCATCTCGAAAAAAGCACCTTATCTCAAGGTTGGGAGTAAGTCACATAAACCAGGTGGGCAAAGGGACTGGGGCTGGTGGGGTAAATGGTGGGGTGAAGGGGTCAGGGATGCGTCCTGAGCAACACATCCACTTCCTAAGAAGTTAACAGAACCAGAAAATGGGGGGAAAAAACCCCAAATCCCAAAACACAGGCCACACAAAAAACCCAAATAGAAATCCAGAAGAAAAGCACAAGACCCTGGCCTGGGTGGTTTCCCATGGACAGACTGACACGGAGCAGACCTACGGGGCAAGAAAGCAGCTCCCGATGCCCAGCGAAGACCAGAGCAACTTCTCCCCAGGGTGGTAGAACTGGTTACACCAAACAGCTGGCTCCTTTTTTTTTTGGAGAAAAACCAAGCCTGGAGCGGGGTCTGTTTTCAGTCTGCATGGAAAACTTGCTGGTTTTCAAAACCCTGGGTACCCCAGAGCCTTGAAAACACCCAGCCCTTCGGTCTTTTTATCACCATCAGTAGAAAAGGTTAAATGCTAATTTGCTGGATCCAGAGCGCTGCTCCTCAGCTGCCTTTCTGTTTGCTCACAGCAACTTTCAGTAGCGTTGCTTCTTAGCGAATGCCCTGCTCAAACAGACTTCCAAGGGGAAAGGTCTCGCGCTGCGTACAATTAATTCTTCGCACAACATCTCGCCCGCTCGTTTCTACAAGCCCCAGTCAACACCAGCAAAACTCCACCAAGGGATTGTGCATCACAAAGAACAAGCTGAAAAGCAAAGCTGCCAGCCGCTGATACTTCTGAGCCAGGAAGAAAAAAAGCTGATTCTCAAAAGCTGCTAGCTCAAATTGCCTCAACGCTTTTCCAGATCTGCTTTAACCACCCAAACTTTGGGAAAGTTGAGTGGGAACCTCCTGGAGTGGGCTGTGCATACTGCAAACCCCAGCGCAAGCAACGAAGGGAAGGAGAAAAACGCACCTGGGAGGGTTTCTGGCTGCAGACAATGCAAAGCACCTCCCGGGCGTGATTTTCCCATCTCCAATGCCATGCCCACCCTCCAGCTCCTCAGCTGCTTCGCCAAAATCACACCACTTAAGTCAGACCCACAAAAAACCAGCGCATGCCCCCTCTTTGCTAGCAGGCTTTCAGAGACGGGATGTGGTTTGCCCCTGGACTAGGGGTACCCGACCGC